TTCTATATTTTCATATCCAATTATGTACGGGCTATACCTCATGCACGAAATATTGCGCTGTCAGTTGTAAGATCTTGTTTAAAAGAACAACTATTGTTCTTCAAAATGTGTTTATTGCCCAACTTAAACGTTTCAACCCCTAATCTACATGTAAAAAGTCTTGGTACAAAAGTTTTATTCGATTTTCGACCACTTGAAGGTCGCAAGAGATACTCAAAAGTAGTCAGCTAGAAAGAGAATTTCATGTTCTTTCTAAATATATATTCAGAATTTTATTCTGACTTGAACCTGATTCATTAGGAGCAGATATTTAATGTGGATCAAAAACGACGTTTGTACAAAATATTTCATGCAGGCCATTTTTGTATTTTAGTTAAAAGTGCTTCAGTTTAAATTAAACGAAAGAGATTTTATACATCAATTTACAGAATGAAGCTTGTTCTACAAAATGCTCAATTTACTTTGTTTCTAACATATCATTGCAAATCATCAGCTTTTCTTGAATGTCAAACAGCGCAATACGGAATAAACGATTATTTTGAAAAATGTCATTTCATGGAAAGAGTAGTATTTCGAAAAATATTTGTAACTTTTCATCCTTTTGAGTTCTAGTTTATTATAACTCATAGTTTTGTAGAATATGTAAGTCTCTTCAACAATAGGAAGTAAAAATTACCCTATAATACCTTTTAGCGATATTACAAACGAGAGGAAAATAAGTGCGTTTTACATGTTGCAAATGAGATTTTTATTGATTCAGGTATTTGCTTACAGCTGACTAGCTAAGAATGAGAGAAAATTTCTAAAGATATATTTAGAAAGAGCATGAAATTCTCTTTCTAACTGACTACTTTTAAGTCTGTTCTGCGACTTTCAAGTGATCGAAAATCGAACAAAACTTTTGTATCAAGACTTTTTACATGTAGGTTAGTTAAAATTTTTCAATGTATGAATGAGTATGTCTACTAAAAACTAAAAATACTATATAAACGATTGCAAGTTGAAAATTAAAGCAACATTTCTGAATAAATTTTGATTATTAATAATCGATATGCAACTAATATTGTTTTGTGACGCAATCTGAAAGCAATGTTGAAGAATATTGGGTAGAAATGCGGGCCCATTCACTGCTACTCTCTACCTTTCAAGATCATCAAAAACTGTATGTCAATAACGTCTTGTTCTACTATTTGAACTACTTTTTTATTGCATATCTGGAGGACTAAACAAAAGGAGGATGAAGAAATATGTTCGATACCAAATATAAGAAGCAATGTTCTATGATTAACATCAGCAACTACATTGTCTTTCACATTTTAATCCCGCAGGGATTGTATTGATAGTTTTAATATTAATATTAATGAATCTTTAAAAGTGCTTTTAATCAAAATATAGCCTGTGAAGTTCTGCAATGAAGGATATAGAAAAGCTTCAGGTGATTGTTGATTAAAGGTAAATTTTATTATATATTTAAAATATGTTACTCTTTTGTCTGCAGGAGAAAAATTCTTTGTAGGATGAGAAAAAAAAGAATCGAATTCGAAAATCTTTTATCATCTCACAGTTTTTAGGCCTCTTTGATTGATTTACAAATCACTATTTGAATATTTTTACTGATATTACTCTTGATGAAGAATCAAACAAAAGGTTATGTTCTAATCTAGATCACTGTTTTTATATGCCCTTAATTATTCGATGCCCTATTGGAACAAAAAGAAAATGATTCTATGTCGAAACTCTCGGAGCAGGATGTGAGTGTGGGTGTGTGTATGAAGTAGGAAAAGAGTTAAAATATACTCACATCCACCCTAAACAAAAATTCAAGGGATAACAGGTTAATTCGATTAATGCACAGTTATCCCAGCTGTGGATGTGAGTGTTAGTCTGTAAGTATGGGACTTCTGTTCACTCACACCCTTATCCCGCAATTTCAGATAATGAGTTTCACATTTTTTTGTAAATGAAAAATGGTAAATAATCTATTAAAATGGAAGATTTTTTTTAATTAGAAAGGTATCACGGTTTTGTTTTTTTATTCATATCGCTTTATTCTAGATAATAATCCAATGCATCGTTTGATAAGAATGACAGTTTTTTTTTTGGAATTTCCATATTACATTCTTGCAAAGCAAATTTACTTATTACTTGTGAAATATTTGCAGCTGACATAAAACACTTCATTCCTGAAAAAAAAATATTTTCACATAGGCAAAAGTATGATTCGATTCGGAGTTTTGATTCTTGTTCTCTTTATTTCATGCAATGTTTCTTTACCAAGTTGCAATATATCTTATTGGGTCAACTTGGATCCCATTAATTGTACAACATCACCAAATGGAACTTATTCTACATTAAATTATAGTGGAAATTGTACTTTATCTCCTGATTATCCAAAGAAAACTGCATATAAACTTGTAATTGATCAAAAAACAAAAACAGTACAAACATTTACAGTTTATAATGATAAATCTTGTCGAAAAGGTGATGAAATATTGACTACAAAAACTCCATTGTCATTGAATACATGTGGACCATTACTTTTTATGACTACTTCAACAAGTTCTGTTCAAATAGGTAGTTTAGTTTTTAATTGTAAACAATAATTTGAACGATTTTTAAAATAATGAATAAAAAATGTAATAAGACCTACTCAATGTTCTTTTGTTTTATGTATAAAGAAAGCACATTTCTATTTAATTCACAACCATATTTTATATTCAATTGAAGATATTTTTATACAGAAGTAATCTTTGAAATTTACTTATTCAAGTCATGTGACAAGCCTGAAAATGTGCAGGACTAAGGTTTTTTTGGTTCCAATCTTAAGAAAACCTATTACAGAATTTATTCGAATCAAATCTAAAATAAAGACTTCAATTCTTATTTACTCTATAACTAGCATTTTTTTTTCAGTCATCTCTCATGAATTATTCTGATTGCTACGATTTATAAAGATCTCACGAAAACATCAAATTTTAGTCTCGTTGATCAGGACTAAAGTTGTTCTCGCACATCTCTATAGACGCATCAATTTCTGTAGGACTGGGTACTCTACGATAACAACGTATTGAGGCACCTATGTGTGACAATATCGATATATCTTTAATCTCTGATGATTATCGTTGCTGTTGCATCTGTCATCCTATCTTTCGTTTTGATGGTTTCGTTTATAAACGTGTGTTCCAGGTGTGAATGATTTAAGAAAGTCGAAGAAAGCGTAATTGAATTCGCATTTAGCATTCTTATATCAATAAGGTGTGTAGAGGGTGTGGGTGTTATATAACAGAAAATTTACGCCAGCACCTACACCCACATCCTCCAATCGAAATATAAATGATTCTCAAAAAGCACAAAATATATTCATTCTTAAAATGAAAAAAAAAGTATAGAAAAATAACAGATTTCGATTATACTTGCAGTAACTAAGTTATTGAAACTAGTTCATAGAAGATGTTATCTAGCGAGGAAACATTCTCGGGTGCTAAATAGCTTTTGAGCTGAAATATTGTTTACAAATAGGAAATATATAAACTAGAGAAAGCCTAAGAAGATATAAAAGTTTTAGAATTTTTCGGAACCAATCATTTCCAATACATCAGTATGTTGGCACAAAATCGTTTTTTTAATACATAGTATTATGCATGGATATTTTGCAAAATTCATATCTTGACGATGATTTGTTCAAAAATTCTCAAACTTTGATTTCACTGCAAAAATGAGGTTCTGCAAGAAAATTATAGTGAAATGTAGGTATCTCACCCATATTGCAACTTGCGTTCTTATCCTCCTAGACTTTCTCTAGTCTATAGATCTACTATTTGTGAACAAACTTTCAGCACAATATATAAATCTATTGAGAGAATAGTGAATTCTGAGTCATATATGAATGTTAGAATTTTATAGTATAATAATGATGATTTGAAGACAATTCTATGCCCATCATAAGAGCAATGTGTTGATGATTGTGAGCTCTATTCGTAGCTGGTGTCATAGATGTTAAACTAGAGTTAGACAGTGTTAATGATGTCAAAGTGAAGCTAGAAGGAACTTCGGACATTGCTATTGTGTCGTTCAGTAAGAACTGTGGGTCCAAATATTCATTATCAATTTTCAAAATTTTATGGATCCAAGAATAATAGTATGATAATCGAGTATAAATACTTGGATTATCAGAGTGTGCACAATTGTTTCCGTATGAGAATATACCAAGCTGTTTCCAAAATCGTCCTGTCTATTGAAAAGTTGGTCCATCTGAATCAACTAAAGAAAATATTTCGTTATTTTAATTTTAAAATATCAAATTTATTTTTAAATATACCTTAACAAGAATCTGAAATATAAGAAAAAAATCTGATTGAGTATGTCTGTGTGTAAAATATTCAAAAACTCTTCTAACTCATTAAGATATTTTCTACCAAATCATATTCAAAATCAAATTTTGTCTAATATATATACAGTGTTTTATTATAAAATTCATAGTCAAAGTAAATTCTGTCGATTCTGTCATATTCAAACTTTCGAACATAATCTCTAAATCAGTAACCTTGGCCATTTTTCAACGATCCAGCACAAAACTGTACTTCTGTATTTCTAATTGAACCTAAGCACGTCGAATCTTGATTGTCATTAGTGAAAACTTCTTTTTGTTGAAGCATTTCAGATGTATAAGAGGATCCATTTCGATTTGTATGTATGACTTCGCTAATAATGGATTGCTTTCGAATGGATAAGGCTCATTGACACGTAATACAACAATGTCATGAAGATTACTAGTTGATGCACCTATATAATTTGGATGAATGTAAATTCGATTCGACAGTGCGTAGAACTTGCTCAGAATCTGAACGATTTGTTATGTCAGCTGAAACAGTAATACTCCGTGATGATTTAGATGTATATCTAAAGATACAATGAGCAGCAGAGAGAATGTAAAATTTCGATATAATTGTTCCTTCATACCAATGATCATCACCGTATAAACGTAGAGAAACAATCATCGATCAACTCTGATCGATGGCATCTTCATCATACAGAATGTTCGATTGAGTAAGTTTCACATTTCGATATCCACATCCACATGGCCATGTCTGCTTGTCACATTCATAAGTAGTTAAATATGTTGCTGCTGTAGTACTAAGTGTTATATTTATTGTTGTTAATATTGTCATATCAGGTTGACTTCTATTACCAATGTATGATTCACTCCAATCACGATAATATGCAAGTCTAATATAAGCTTCAGAAGGTGACAATTCACAGCCACCTCTATTAAAAGATGCTATATCGACTTGTTCCCAATGGTTTTCTATCCATTGAAGTATTAGTCCACCAAAATCACCTAATTACGAAAACTTAAGTTCAAAAAAGAGAAGAATGTGCTAATTAAAATTTACTTACCAAAATACACACACCTAGAATAAGAGAAATATGATTTAATCATAAAAAAAAGTTTACATTTTACAAACACTATTTCCTTATCTGTAACTTGGTCATATCATCCTGCGCAAAACTGTACAATAGAATCATTAATTAAATCGTAACATTCTATCTCATTATGATCCAGTGTATTAAACAATTAATTATTGCAAAGTATCAGATTCATCAGCAGTATACATAGTACGACCCCATCCAATCACTACTAAAGTGCTACCATTTGCTGGATATTCTAATAGTTCTTCGAAGGTGTTTAATTATGGTGGAAGATACGTTCGATTAATAAAAGGACTCATTTCGAGATCAAGCGATTCAACTAAATAAATTAAAGCCATATCATTTTTGTGTCCATCCCATGAACTTGTCCAATTTGGATGCATGATAATTTGATCAACCTGCCGTTCTATTTGATATTCTTCAGATCGCCTATGAATGCCAGCACTGATGAGAAGGTTATCAAATGATATATTAGAATCGAAGCTTCCGAAATAACTAGCTGCTGTAAGAATGTAAAAATCAGTAAGAATAGTTCCACCACAAACAAAACTTAGTGACTGGTTATCAAACACACGAGTATATGTGAGCGCTACCATCATCGATCAACTACATGGTAATTGCCTCTTCACCAAAAATAATACGTGCACTAATATCAACATTTGCATGACTGCAATCGTATCCAAATGACTTATCACAATTATAAATCATTGTGTCACATAAAATATAAATCAATGATAATAATATAAAACTTTCTGAACGAAATACTACCATATTTTCAAAAATATATTTTATAGTAAAAAGAAAAATTATAATAGAAAGAATTTATGCACAAGCAAACACATACATGTATACATGATTATTTCAATGGTAAATATTTACGTTATCTTCATTTTCGTATGTGATTGACGGCTGTTTTTATACATAAATAATATTGAGTGAGAGGTGTGCCTGTCATCTGCGAAAAAAGTGAATGTATGCACGCATCTCTACTTGGTGAATGAGTAAGTAAGAATAACAAAGGAAAAAGATGAAAATTGATCTAAATAAAACGCTTTTTTTGCTTGAGTCATGAAGCAAATATGTATTAACGATGCATCGTATAGCACAGACATGTGAAGCATGATTTTTCATCCACACCATCGTCTCAGCTCTCGAATTTGCTAATTTCCATAATTGGATGTAGGTAGCTGTGGATTTGGATCGGCGTATGGTTACATAGAAGCCTACTCACGCCATTTTGAAGGTAGCGCAAAATATTCATTTATTTTTCGATCATATATTCTTCTCGGAACAGCGCGACAGGCTTTATACCTGTTATATGTTTAAAAGTAGTTTTTTTCTAGCAGAAATTGTTGATTTCTACATAAACCAACTTTTGGGTGGGCACGTATAGACAAGGTTTCATTTATCACAATATTTCATTTTGTACATGTTTCAGTACTTTACAATAATGTTGAATTGAAACTATTCCGACACACAAACTAGGGAATAATGCACAAACATTACTTTACTCTACACAGACGTAGTTTCCGACTTTTTCATAAAATTTACAGATACTTACAAGCATACTAAAAGTAAAGATTTTAGCAAATAAAATTCAATAGAAAAGAGTTAATCTAGTATTTGAGTTAGTAACCATTCTTAATAACATACAATTAGTTTTTCTGAAGATATTGATTGAACCTATTTTTTAATTCGAAAATTCATAATCTTGGTTTATCAATCAGACCGAGCATCTAGAAAATGCATGGTACTTTATCTGCAGAATAAGTTAAGTATAAAATAACAATAATATGTTCTGATGCAGGATAATGTCAAGCATTTGTATGAATATATAATTAAATTGTAGTTAATGGAGATTGTTGGATTATAGTTCTTCTAGATCGAAGAATTTGAACCAATTTCTATGCAACATACCCAGAGTTTATCATCTACTATCACTTTATCTATTTGTTGCATTTTTTTTAGTTAGTGATGTGCAACAAAATTTGATTGATCAAAAAGGGTTGCTAGTCGTTGTATTGAGATGATGAATTTTTTTATCAAAAAGTACTTTTAATAAATGTTTTGAAACAAATGATATATATGTAAACTAAGGATGAACTACTAGCTGAAATACTTACGGAGAATAAAAACTTGATTAACTCTTTCTTGTTGACTTTTATTTATGTCACACCAATTAATTTTGATATGTTCTAAGTAGTTATTCTTAGATTTTTGTTGAATATGAGTTTATATGCAATTATTTATACTATTTTTAATCTTATGCTAAAAAATCATATTTCGATATTGATAATATCTATAATAATTATATTAAAATCGGATCATTTTCTGCGTCATATTATTTAATAACATTTTATTTTTTTTATTTTTTACTTATTGTTGATGAGAAATTTTAACAGCTGATGAAATACTCAATAAATCATACTATATATATTTAAAGACTACAATGAAACTAAATTGATTGATTAGTTGAAATGATGATTTTCATAGGATCTCTAATTTTTAGTCTCTTAGTTTCATTAACATTTTCGTTATCAACATGTAATTTATCTATGTGGATTAATACAAAAGATTTTACATGTTCAGGTTCACCTAATGCAACTTATTCAGCTATAAATTATAATGGAAATTGTACAATGTTTCCCAATGATCCGGAATGGACAACTTATAAACTTATAATCGATATTGAAACACGAACTGTTCAAAATTTTATTGCTTATAATTTTAAGAATTGTTATAAAGGCAATGAATTATTTTTTGCAAAAACACCTCTATTATTAAGTGTTTGTGTTCCATTATATTTAGTTGTTGATCCAAGTAGTAGTGTACCAATGGGTGGTTTAATTTTTAATTGTGAAGATTGAAGATTTATTTTTTTATTTTTCTCAATCATTAATTATGAAAATAAAAATAATTATTGTAATTTTTCATTTGTAAAAGATAGAATTGTATATTTACATTCGTAATATTTCTTACTAATGAAAAATAAAACTTAAAGATAAAAGCATTTAGAAGTTGTAGATTTTTTTTGAATAGATTTTCTATAATTGATGTTAATGTTAAAATCAAAATTTTTTTCTATGTTTAATTTTTCATTAGTCAAATGTCATGTAAATGCAATTTTTTTTTTGGTTATAAACACTACCGATTTTTCGATTACTTTAATTGACGATAAATTTTATTTTTTGTTTTATTCGAAAACAATTATGAAGAATCGCTTTCTTTCTCAATTGCAATACGACAGATAAAGTTGGAATATTAAAAAAAAAATACTCAGCAATGTTTGAAGTATCTAATTTTGTTTTGAAATATTTAACATTCGAATTCTCCTAATTTTTCTATAATTTGATTAGATGCTTTCATACATTGAATATATCAAGAAGAAAGCAATGATTTTAATTTAAGCACAAAATCTACTTACAAATAAAATTTCACCATAAAAATATTTTTTTTTATTCACTTTTTTCTTTCAATACTCAATTATATGATAAGAATCGATCAAAACTGTTATAAATCAGTCGAAAAAAATCTATAAGTGCAAATCCTTTTGATGTTATTCTAGTTTAGAGCTTCTGTTTTTTATATTGAAAGTATAATTTTTAAAATTAATAAATTATTTTTGAACATTTTCATCAATAATACTTATGTCATGTAAAGTATTTATAAACCATTACTTCATTATGCATATTATAAAAAAAAAGAAAAGACTACATAAAGTATTTGAAGTCGTAACGTAGAGAAATTTTTATATTTACATTTTATTTTCAATGAATTATAATAAATTATTTACAATTCATTTTCAATAGCAAAAAAATATGTATGTCAAATAATATATTTACTGTTAAAATCAAAAAAAGATTTATTCATCTTTCGAAATTTAATGTATTTGATTTATTAAATGCAGTAATAACAAAAAAAAATCAAATCTCGATTTGAAAATGAAGAAAAGAAAAGAATTAATGTGTCGATACATTATATTGGTTTCATTTTCTATTTCATTCATTTGTTAATCTTAAAATTTTTTCTTAATGTTGCAAGCTAAATATTCAAATACACCATTGATTACACAAACAGATGCAAAACAACATTTGCATAATATTCGTTATCAACGTCAAAATCAATTAGCAACTATAATCAATGAATGTCATCAACTTCGTATATCACATAAACGTATTTTTGATAATCAATTAAATTTTTCTTCAAATGAAAAATCTTTAATGTTAAAACCATTAAATAGAGAAGCAGTTTTTATTTTTAATTCACAAACTGAATCAAATAATTCATTATCTGTTATAAAAGAAGATTCACAATATTTATCTGAATCTTCATATACATTTTTAGAAAATCAATTACCAAAGTAAAGAAGATTCCTTGTTTTTTTGTATTGACAAAAATAATTTTAATATTTGTAGTAATCGATTATTATCAAGACGTATAAAAAAGAATCAACAACAACATTTAAGTGTCTCATCTATTGCATCTATTGAAAAACTTCCACCAATATCAACTAATAAAATCAAATCAAATAAATCTACTAAATTTGTTGATGCTATAAAACAAATGAAAAATCGATCATCAATTCAACGACATTTAATAAATAATAAATCGAATAATAATTATCTATTCAATGAAAAATTTATTTTTAATACTTCAATTAAAGAAATACAACCAAAACTTCCTTCAATTCTTTGTCCATCATCATTTTATTATTCAAAACAAATTCAAACTCGTCAATGGTTATGTAAAAATTATTTTTCAACTCGAACTCTTCCGCTTATTTAAGCATGTATTTACAAAAATATATATATATATATATGCATTATTATACAAAAAATTTGTCATTTTAAATCATCATGATTACAAGTTTTCGTGGTGTTATAGGTTTTGATGACGATGAAATTTTTTCATATGGACATGGATGATCAGAATCCTAATTCAAATAAAAAAAAAAAAAAAAAATTAAATTTATAAAGACAACAAAAAAATCAAGCTTTACTAACCTGCCAGAAAAGAGTTTTACATGATTGACATTGTTGTATCATTTCTGCATAAGCATCTCGAAGACCATGTTGTCTTCGTAAACGAAAATAAATTTTTTTCCAATCAATATTATCCATATCAACATCTTTTTGTTGTCGTCGAATAAAACCAAGAATTTTTTCTCCTAATACTAAATTATTACTATTTTTTGTTTCATCACCAAAATGATAAAGACATAATTGACGCCAAAGAAGTAATTCTTGTGTAACTCGATATAAATTTGTATTTATCATTCCAATATTAATTATATCTGTTCCATTATCTAATCGTTGTATAATTTCACATTGCATTTCAATTGGAAGATAATCAAATTTTGTTTTACTATTATCTTCATCTATTTTTAATTTATTTATTCGTACTTGTTTTATTGTTTCTTTCATATGTGTTAATTTTTCAATATGTTGACGCCATAATGGAGCTGAACCAATATAATAATAAAATGGATATGCGGAATGAATTGAATTATGAAATTGTGTAACTATTCGTTGCATCAAAGGAATATTATCTCCAGTTTTCAGAGCTAAAGCAAGATAAAACATACAAAAAAAATAAAAATATTCATGAATATACATATACCCGTATCAATCATTCGCTCTATAACATGAAGTAAAGAACGTTGAGCATTACCACTTAATTCACTTAATTTTTCTTTAAATAAAATTTGTACAACCTATAAATATATATATATATGAGATATAATCAAATATGATCATTAGTTATTCTTACTTTTGAAATATAATTAAAACGTCGTAAATTACTAACTGAATTTGCAATATCAAGTGCATTAAATATATCCGAAAGACTTGTATTTATATTATTTAACTAAATTTAAAAAAAAATATATAAATAATATAAAACTCCTGATATCAAAACTTACTGAACTTGACAATGATATTTGTTTTCGTGGTTGCCATGAACCAATAGCAGTTTTGGTCCATTGTTCTCCATTAGCACGCCAATCTCGTCCAATAAATGGCATTGTATTGAATAAATAAGAATCTGATTATGTTTCACTATTGAGATGATTAACGAAAAAAAAATAAAAGAATAACGAGGTTGAATTTTGAAGTAAAGGTCAAACAGGGATAAATTGTACTTGTAAATATATATATATCTTGTCTTAAGTATTTTTATGTAATGTATGCATGTATGAATATATGTGCTTATATATATATATAAGAGCTCAGAAGAAAAAAAAAACAAGAAGACGAATAAATGAAAAGAACAAGGATTTCCTCTCTTCTCACGAGTTTTTGCTCGTGCTTTCATCCATATGATCGGCGTCATTTGTACATACAGAACAGACAAAAATATAGTAAAGGAATAGATTAACAACGAACTGTAGTAAGAAAATATAAGTACGAAAGAATTTTATCATGTATCACCATGTGATTATTTTTCTCGTTGAAAAAATGATGTCACATGCATTGAGTACGTAGACATATGACGCAGAAAAACTTAGTTCGCAATATTATTAGTAAGTATTTTGTTAATAATTATAGACAATCTGTAAGTTTATGCAAGAATGTTTTGGTTACTTTTTATATCTTAATAGCAACTCTGGAAAAATAATGGCTAATATCTGATTTATGACGCATTAAATAATAATTGCGCAGTAGAATTAACAATAATGAACTTCAAGTACGATTAATATATCAAATTGTTTTTTTTCAAAATCAAAGAAAAAAAAAACCATAAAATTTGAACTTTATAATGTCAACGAACTTTGTTCGGAAAACAAGAAGTATATTGATATTAGATTTTGATATTCTTCTTCTTTGCATTATACTTTATATTAAAAAAAAAATATTCTATTTTATTGCATCTATTATATAGACACTATTATTTGAAATTTATAGGCAATATTGATTTATAAATAAAATATTGTTTTGATTCGAACAATTTTTCAAAATCGATCAAAATTATAATCGTAAGCATGTTTCATCGAATTTTAAAATGATTTCACAATAGAATATTTGTATCGAATAATATTATTGTAATTATTCAATTGATAAAAGTTTTAATATGACTATGATTCTTCCATAAGATGAGATAATACATTTAGATATATATTGCATAATACAAAAAATTTTCTACTCATTCACTCCCTTGCTAAAAACATAATATCAATAAATTCATTAACCATTTGCATTATTTGTAAAAGAAAAATTTTATTCGAATTAAATATTGAAAATTCAATTAATGATTTCATTTATTCAATTCATTTCGACTTTTGTAATTCGTTTAAATATTTTAATTTAATATTCTGAATCTTCTATAGCTTTTTCTATGAAAATAATTGATTTGAATCTTCGCTCTACACTAGTATCAAAGAGGAATGGATGTAAGCTTCATGCCTTGACAATGGCGACAGTTAACGATCTACGGAATATTAATGCACATGATCTACCCTCGCTAAATTCGATTATTAGCTATCCTACACTAGGTCGAATAGAGAAATACGCATATTATCAACAACGTTTCTTCAGCATGCAACTTGTTTATTTGGATTAAAACTAGGCATACAGCATCATTACACCTATGGTCGATTCAAAAAACAATATCATCATTTTTCATTGAATTTCGAATGGTTAATCAAAAAATAGTTTTTTTTTCTGCAATATTGTTTCATATAGACTCATATGGATCACGTGATTTAATTTCTTCATATTTGAGAATGGTTTTTGAAGATTGTTCTGGAATGAATACAAACAAACCATGAAAACAACCCTATTTCCTTCGATTGTAACTATGTCTAATGATGAATAACTATACAAAGACCATGAGAATGAAAGAATTATTCATCTGATTTTTTCTTTTCTGAAGTATGTGTAATACTAGTTCTCATTAAGGGCATTTCTTATAGTTGATCATCAAAGTCAAAGAACATCGGATCTATGAAGAATATTATGATTTAAAAACAAAATTATCAGCATTTATTTGATTTCGAAGCCATTTAGAACTCTACTCTTTGATTTAAATTTATGGATATAGCCATTTTTGTAGAACTCACATATGTTTTCGAAGAAAATAGTGAGTGTAAATGTTAAATCGAGGTTTTGGTGGATACCCTATCTCGTAGGCCCTAGTCCTGCTTAGATCATTCTAAGAATCTAAATTCTAATTGTTTAGTCTAAATAGTGCAGTTTTGAGCGTCCTATGCAGTGAAAGAGTCCCCGATTCGGATGGACGTTGGAAAATCTGAATTGATTTATTTTAGTTTCAGACAAAACTTGTCGAGAGAAAGAATTGTGCGCGGTATAACTTACTAAGTGATAAAATCAATGTCTATAGCAGGCTAATATAGTATTTAGTTGAATCGACGAAATGAAGAGTAGAATTACATTTGTCGCTATCTATAGAATGTATCGCACATATGTTATCATTATGAGATAAGAGCCTATAGATTGAAGACGTATCTGATA